AGCTCCAGCCAACACTGTCCACCATGGGTGCCCATTACCACGATTGGCACATCACTGTCACAGGCTTCAGCATCATAGCAACCACAAGTTACCTCTGTACAGCAACGCACAGACCAGTGCTGTACCACCTAGAAGAATGTTTGACAGGAAGACAGTTTGAACCTGGCTTAAGGCCGCCTCCTGGTTCAAACCCTAGGCCCAGGCTAGCTAGCCTCACTCCAGGGACAGAGCAAACCTGCACATCAAACACATTTCCGGAAAAGCTCTCAATAAAATGGACTGAGCCAGTGGGCTCAAGCATTTCAGAGATGGTGAGAGTAACAGGACGGGGTGAGGTTCAAGTCTGTTTTTCACAGGATTGCTGTGAATCATAGTTAACTCGATGACACCCAATAACAACAGCAACAATACAGCAAGGAACCAACTAGCCTATTTTTCAGCTGCTTGAATGGAACATTTCTTGAGGTTGGCCCTGGCTTGAGGCTGGGGCCGGCCCACCGGATGCCCTCTTTGTGGTAAAACTGTTTCCTAAATCAACTGAAGGTGGCAGCAGAGATGAAGGTCGTGAGTGGAACTGAACCTGGGAGGGACTTGGAGGCACGCCTTTCTTTGTGAATTTCCTTTCTGATACTCATCTGCATGCACGTTTTACAAAGTATGCCGGAGTGAAGTTACTTAAGAGTTTTCCAGATAGCTTCACAGCATAGTTTAAAAATGATTCTCCAGGGGAGCTCTGGTGGCCTAGTGGCAAGGAACTGCAACTACAATTCCAGAGGCACACGGTTCAAATCCACCAGATGCTCTGCCGGGGAAGGAGGGACAATCTCCTCCTGTACCAGTCAGATCTGATTTGATGGTAACTCACACAAAAATAATTAAAAAAATGAAAAAAAAGATTCTCCTATCATCAGGTTATGAGTGCTTCGGTTATCTACTTTTACACAACAGACAGCTGCAAAACTTGTACTATAAAGATCGAGATTGTTCACAGCTTTAGTTTGCTTGGCTCCACAGTCAACACTCTTGGCACCAGCAGCCAGGAAATTAAAAGGTGTATTGTGA